AGAATTCATGGTTAATTCCTTCAGAGGAGAAAAAGTCAGCAAATTTATTATTTTCAGATTCCTTTCCATGATCACTTCTGATTCTTATGATATGACTTTCCTTTTCCCTTTGAAATTTTTGACATAGATCTTTAAACACTTCAAAAGTTTCTGATGTTTCTCTAATAAAGTTTATCCATGTATATCTAGAAAAATCATCTACAACAACATAGACATACTTCTTACCACCAAGACTTTCAACCTGCATAGGCCCCATTAAGTCCATGTGAGGAAGTTCCAAAACTTTTGATGTAGTGAGATGGCGGATCTTCTGATGTGACATCTTAGTTTGCTTTCCGACCTGGCAGTCACCACATATTCTACCTTCTTCTATCTTGAGTTTAGGAATCCCTCTCACTACTTCTTCAGATATAATTCTTTTCATACCTTTCAGATGCAAGTGCCCCAATTTTTTATACCATAGTTTAACTTCATTCTCTTTGGCTAAAACACATGTTGAGGAGAGGTTCAACTCTTGAGGAACCCATAGATAACAGTTGTCTTTAGATCTGATTCCTTTCATAATAACTTCATTCTTTTCATTGCACACAAGACATTCTTCCTTGGTGAAGTTAACTTTGAATCCTTGATCACACAATTGGCTTATACTTATCAGGTTAGTTGTTAACCCTTTAATAAGTAACACATCATCAAGCTTAGGGACTCCTGAACAATCAAGCTTGCCAACACCTTTGATTTCACCTTTTGCTCCACCACCAAAAGTCACATAACTGGTGGAATGAGATTTAACATCCACCAACAGATTCTTGACACCTATCATGTGTCTAGAGCAGCCACTGTCAAAATTCCAGTCATCTTTGGTTGACACTCTGAGGGAGGTGTGAGATATGAAACTAGCAACTTTAGACTTGGGAATCCACTGTTTCTTCTTTTAGTTATTTTATGGAATCTTATCAGTCTTGGGAGGAGGAGTAGTCTTAGGATACACATACAACTTAAAATAGAAAGGCCTTATATGACTAAGCCTTCCATAGTGATGACATTTTCAGGGCTGGGGATTCTCCTTGGTGTATTTAAACTTCTTCTTGCCCTGATGTTTTCCATGATATCCTTTCTTGCTATGATGTTTAGACATTTAATTCGACATCATAGGTTTAGATTTGGCCTGAGTGGAATATGATAAAGGTTCTTCTGAGTTAGGTTTCTCTTTCTCATTAAACCCTAGACCACTCTTATTTCCAGTCACTCTCCCCACTTGAATAATTTTATCTAGTTTGTCAGATATATTATTTAGCATCTTGAGAGATTTGACCATTCTATCAAGGTTTGAATTCAGGGAAGTCACTTCACTTTCCAGATTAGAAATAGTTTTTAAATGTTCTTCCCTTTCTGCCTTCAGCTGAGTTATGATGACTTTCTGTTTCTCCCCTTCAAGACATACTTCTACACTTCTGAGACATAATTCTTTGTATGAAGCAGCTAACTCATCAAAGGTTAGTTTCTCATCACTAGACTCTTCATCAGATACATATTTTCCTGTTAATGTTTTAACATACTTGGCAGATTCTTCAAGATCACTCTCTGAATCCTCTTCAGACCAGATAACAGATATATTCTTCTTATGTTTCTTAAGATATGTAGGACATTCAGCTCTAATGTGACCAAAGTCTTCACATTCATGACATTGTATTCCCTTCCCTTGAGAAGATTTTTCTTCGACCCTTTTTCTTCCAACTTCATTTGACTTATGGATGTCAGATGAGATGTTCTTGACATTTGATCTTTGGTTTCTGTCTATTCTTTTTATCACTTTGTTAAACTGTCTTCCAAGCATAGCTAAGGCATTTGATATAACTACATCTGTATCCAGATCACAATCCTCCTCTTCATCTTCAGTATTTGATACAAAGGCTATGTTTTTGTTCTTCTTTTCAGATCTTTCATTTATGCTTAATTAAAATGTTATAAGGGATCCAACAATTTCATCCACTTTCATTTTGTCAATGTCTTGAGCTTCTTCTATAGCAGTCAGTTTCATATCAAATCTCTTGGGAAGAGACTTGAGCATCTTTCTCACCAATTTGTCTTTAGGTATTTTCTCTCCTAAAGCACTGGAGGCATTAGCAATTTCAAGAATGTTCATATAGAAGTTATTTATACTTTCATCATCCTTCATTCCCAAATTCTCAAATTTTGTGGTGAGCAACTAAAGTCTTGACATCTTAACTTTGGATTTGTCTTCATGAGTAGATTGAAGAATCCCCTATGCATCCTTAGCAACTTCACATGTATTCGCTAATCTGAAAATGTTCTTGTCAATTCCATTGAATATAGAATTCAAAACTTTAGAATTTCCAAGAGCAATTTCATCTTCTTCCTTAGACCAATCTTCTTCTGGTTTTAATTCATAAGTAGGTTCTCCATTTTCTCCCAATTTGACAGGGTGCTTCCATCCTTTTAAGACAGCTTTCCAAGCTCTACTGTCTAGTGACTTTAGAAAGGCCACCATACCTGGTTTCCAATAATCATAATTACTTCCATCCATAATGGGTGGTTTGTTCACAAATCCTCCTTCCTTGTCTATATATCAAAAAGTATCTTCCCTGGATCTCACCCAGATAAAGAGCAGGATGTCTGCTCTGATACCAATTGAAATTCTGGTATCATATATATGTCGAATGAGATGTCACGACACAAATATCTGTTGACAAGTAAGAGCAGTAATAACAAAAGCAGTAAAAACACAAGAGATTGTTCACCCAGTTCAGTGTACAACAACACCTACTCTGGGGGCTACCAAGTCAGGGACAAGTCCACTAAATAGTATCAATTCATAGACCCTCAGTAAACTATCAATTTATGATCTAATCACTACTCGTGCTATACTTCTACCTAAGACTCACCTAGGTATGAGGCCCTCCTCAAATCCCTTCAATCACTTACAGTGAAGAAACAACAGAAATACTAAGTTTAAAAATTTCAATCATTCAACGCTTAAAAGCTTATGAATGATACACAATTAACAACCCAAATAACAACACAAGTATTAATTCAATACTAGAGTGTTTGACAATTAAAAGACTTAGACTTTTTAAAACAGAAACAAAGTATTCCTCTTCATAAGTTACAGTCGTTTGAATAATGAAGCAAGTCCTTATATATGCGCAGCTGTGGACTTGCGCTTAAAAATAAATATTCAAATCTTTTGAATATTTCCTTAAAAACAGGCCAAGATAAAATCTATGCAGATAATTCAAATAGAACAATATTCCTTCATATTTTTGCAGTCTATGAGTCACAAATCCTGAATTATGGTGCGTAGGAAATCAGGAAACAGAAAACTTAAACTAATGTTGGCTGAGTTCAGTTCAGGAGGCAGATGTCAAGACATCTGCTTTGACATCATTCAAAACAATTTGCTACAAATGTCCAGACACTTAACAAAACATTAACAGCATATTGTTTTACCAAAATTGCTGCCAACAAACACTTACAGTACCCCTCAGCAGTCGGGCACAACCGCTCGCTAAAGACAGTATTGATGTGGCGCTCGTGGTTCGGCGGCATCAACGCGGGTCTTCTCGCGAGCAATATTGAGGGAGTTTCTAACCCAAAGGGGCGAGCACGGCAAACAAGACCCTATCCTCGACCCCCAAGTTGGCTTCAAACCACTACCTCCTCGACGCGTGGGCTGTCCTATAAGTCATAACTCCTATTCAAGAGCAACAATTTGGGGGCTCCTATTATGAATTGGGCATGCACTTGGTCCACTAAAGAGAAAGGCCCAGTCTGACGCTCTCTCAAAGAAGGCCCAACCGCATGGCCCAATTCCTAGACATTGGGGAACGTTTCCCCACGTGTCTTCCATGAGCACGTGGTCAACTGCCTTTCGATTACTACAAAATCTTGTCACTTATGGAGAATCGGTCCTCCGTTGACCGAGGAATGTGAGATAGTCAAACCAGGATCGTGGGCACATGGTGTTCCACTTCACACGCTTGAGTCCTGACAGCCATTTGTCATGGACTTGGATCTTCAGCCCATAGTGAATGCCTTGACCCAACGCTGGGGACTATAAGTACCCTCTTTCATTAGAGTCAGGTACATTATTCTCTACATTTTCATTACTTGCATTCTACTCTGAACCTTACTTTAGCATCAGAGTGTCTTACAGGTACCCCCTACTTCACCTTTACTGCAGTTCAATCCAAATTTGTGGACCACCGACGATCCCTTCTAGTCAGGTACGATCAAAAACCATCTTGTGGGCATAACTTCATAATTATGAAGGTTTTAAACACTGATTTATAAAGACACTAAGTGATTGTGAAAAATCTTTCAATTCCAATTCGACATGGGCAGCATTAGTAAGTTCAATAATGAAGAGATAGTGTCTCTGGATTTTTGTCTCTTGTTGTTTCACCAATTTAAAATAGTGGTTAGGAGAAAGTCTTCTATGGTCACAAACATTTAGCCACACCATTTCGGCGCACACTTATAAAACAAAAGTAAATAGACAAATAATAATTAAATGATGTTTAAATCATGTGTGCCCAAATGATTATTTGGGTTTGTGCCCAAGTCTTTCTCAGTGGCAACTTATAGTGTTTAATTCTACCAATGCCTATTATAGCAAGAAGAAAAATTCCAGTTTTATCTGCTCTTTCTCTTTCCTCTATATTTAGGTGCTTCTGTCTATGTGCAGGAAGGGAAGATAACACGAGTCACCGAAAACGATTCATGAGAAAAGGCCAACCATTTAATTTCCTTGTAATTTTCTTAATACAAGAATTGTTATATAAGAGGGTGCATTTGATGTCAATTACAAATTCATTCTTATCAATGTAGTAACTGAAATCAAAGAACTAATGTTACAAATGGTACATACACATATATATCGAAGCTTGACAATGACAGCTGTAATTGTTACAGCTGAAGCCATGATTGATAATGGACTATCTACAATCCTTCAACAAATCTGACAAAATGCTTGACAAGCTTCATGGCTGAGGATTTGCTGAGGATTTGCTGCTATCACTCTTATCAGGTGATCCACATTCACTAAAGTCGAGTACGCGGCGCTCAACCTGAATTAAAAAAAAAACCCATTAAGGTTTGTCAGAAACTATCTTTCAGTGAAATACAGTGGAAACTATGTAGATGGAGGATCATTGAATTCAACTTTACCAAAGCATTAGAAGTCAATTTAGAATTGTTTGCATTGTTAGAATCATCATTTTCGTCATCGCTATTCTTATCATCTCCTGGTGTGCCGCCGCCTCTAGGTAATGCTTTAGGAGTATCATTATTCAAAATCTCCTGTGCATTTTCATATGTAGCAGCAGTTTGTTCACCAACTTCTTTTAACAACCCGATAGCGTCGTAGCTTCTATCACCTCCCGGGCTTTTGAAAAATCCAAAATCCTGAAAATATTTTTAAAAGTTTTTCAGCAAGTCAAAATTAAAATATACTTCAAGATCATTACAGTAATTGTCCAACAGAACCTAAAGTACCTCAATTGTAATTTCAGCATTTGGGCTACAGAGAAAAGTATTCCTGAGCCAAGGAGATTTCCATGCAGAAGGTGATTCAAAACCTTTCCTGAAAGGTGTTCCGCCAAATCTACCATCAAAGAAGCAGACAGTTAGAAACAGTGTGAGCATTGATAATAATTCAAGAAAGTTAAAATAGAACTGTTACGAAGTGCCAAATTAGTATCAATAACAAGAAATTTAAAGAACATTACATGTTACACGTTCCAAATTCTCCATCGTTTTTACTTTGATCCCCCGAATTCTCCTCTGGAGCTTTTGCACGAGCAATAGAAACTGTAAGATTTTCATGTTCCTTTGCACGAACACAAGGAGAGCTAAACCTTGAGCGTTGATTCTCAGAAGGTATTTTTGAAGGAATGCTCTGGTTTGGAGCTATTTCTGAGCTCCTATTGTTCATGTTTCTGGGAGATATAACACTAGAACCTAGAACTCTGTCTCTAACACCAACTTCATCAGATGAATATAATGAAAGGTCGTTCCTATCATGTTCAGACAAAACTCCAGAAGATTGTTGCACCTGATAAACAGAACAAAGGGAGTGAAAAATAATCGAATGAAGAAATAAGAGGGAGGGGGGACAGATGGAGAAGTAATTCCAGAATACAAGCAATTACAAGAGAAGATGAACTGTACATAGGACTTACAATCTCAACAGCAGTAGTAACATCAATCTTCATTTTAGAATCAACATCAAGAGGTTGCTGCTTAACCTTACTAGGAGAATTACTGTCAAGAGCATCTCTTTGGGACATCTTTTCTTCCAAAACTGCAGATTTAATTATCTCCTCTACTTGTTTACCTTTATCAGCTTGTCCACAATTTTCTTTATCGTCGTCAAAAACAGGAGCCTCGGAGTTTTGCTTTTGCAATGAAGATGGAGAGAGTATATCTGCTTCCAAACTAGAAAAGGCTTTGGACAGAGATGATGTCATGTCAGTCTCAAGTTTCTTGCCAATTCGTTTATCTGAAAGTGGGGATAACAAATCTCGGCGTCGTTTTTTTAATATTGACGGTGTACCCGTAAAAGTTTTAGCTGCATTTTTCAATAATGCTTCTGGACTATCATCACGAGAAGGCGAGTCCCACAACCTTGAAGGAGTCAGACAGTTCATAGACGACATCATAAACTGGCGGATACCCAGAGGACTAAATTCTTGCTGCATATCACCCCCAGATTGCACAAGATCACAGCTCAAGAAAGGAATATCCATGCTCGGAAAACGGGGAGGTTCATAGCATAGTGCTCCCTTGCCCTCCTTTTCTGTGTGCATGTTTGGCCTTTCATCTGTTGGAAAACAAGTTTGCTTAACATCTCGCATTACTGCACTATCTGTAGCATCAATACAATGAGAACTGGGCATGTCAATGGCATAAGTGAAGTTATCAGGTGCTGTCAAAACAAACTTCTGATCCTCAGGCTCAGCGGAATGTACTGGTCGAGTAGATTGGGAGTATGCCATCCCTTTAAAATTATTAGAACACTGAGGACAAGTTAATGGCAGATTTGAGGTTCCACAATTTTCGGAAATCTGAAAATGACATGATTGACAAACAAATGGGGGGTGACCAGAAAATTCAACAGTATCAACATCTTTAATATAATCTCCAGGGATAAAACATCTATCATTATTTGCCTCTGGAAATAGGGCTCTGCAACATTCATCATCAGATATCAGCATATGATCTGGTTTGGCAGCATCCGTAGATGTAGTTTCCATGGGCATTGAAACATTCGCCGAGTCACGTATTCCACTAGGATCTGTAGATTCCATATAATCTCTTTGCAACTGGGAGGAGTCCTTCCCTAAGTCTATTGATGAAATATTGGGCAAGGAATGTAAATTAAACTGGCAATCCTCATTTATGGGATTTCCAGGTTCATGTGAGAATTGTTCATTGAGTTCAGAAGAACATGCTTCGTGATGAGTCATTTCTGGGATGCATGTAGTAGCATCATCAATTGATATGTAATATGGCTCTGAACAGGATGCTTGACTTGGACTATGATCCGTCCCAAGACTACATTCTCCCCCAACAGTTTGCAAGTCAACACTGGTCATCTCTCTAGTGGATGGAAAGTGGAGAGCATTAGCCGACTCGTGGCTACACTCTAAACCTTCATCTCCTTCAGTCCCCTGAAGAACATTATCATCTGCATTACATTGCAGCCTTGAAGATGTTGCAACAATTGATTGACTTGGGTTTCCATCATGAGGAACAGATTGCAGCTGAGTAAGTAAGCCCGATGCCATGTAAGAATCCAATTTCTTTTTGACTGAACTGTTCCAGTGGTTTTTAATAGCATTGTCTGTCCTGTTTCCATTGAAGTATAAGTACGTCACCAAAATTAAAAGCATACAGATAAGCAGAAGACATAATAACTTGAGAGAGTGAGAGTGAGAGTGAGAGTGAGAGTGAGAGTGAGAGAGAGTGAGAGAGAGAGAGTGAGAGAGTGAGAGAGAGTGAGAGAGAGTGAGTGAGTGAGTGAGAGAGAGAGAGAGAGAGAGAGAGAGAGAGAGAGAGAGAGAGAGAGAGAGAGTCGCATCTCCATCTTATGCTCCAATCCGGGATCTTCCTCCAGGTCGAGAAGATGCTCTGCGGTCCATCTCTCCAGTTAAAGATGATGATGACAAGGCCATCCCTGTGGACGAATCTGAACACTCAGATGGGGATGCCAAAGCAGTGGTCCGATGATGTGAGAGACCTCAAGAAGGTGAAGGTGCCACCAATGGATATATAGCTGGTAGTCTCTCTTAAATAGAATACAGGCCCTTTCAAAGTACGAATTCGGGGTTTATTTATCAACATTGCGTCACCTTGATCCCTCGGCAACCTCGCAAGTAACTTTTCCCGAAAGAGCTATGGCGGGGCAGAGCTTGGAGCACTTAGTCGAAGCATCTTCGCCACGCGGGTACGGGCATATCATAATCTAATTGGATAAACTCTCATGTGTGAAATAGAATTTAAGTTATAGAGAACTTAAGAAGTAGTAGAAAGCGCCCAACCAAGAGGTGATGACGCTGATGTGTGTGAGAGTGAGTGTGAGAGAGAGTGTGAGAGTGAGAGAGAGTGAGAGTGTGAGAGAGAGTGTGAGAGTGAGAGAGAGAGAGAGAGTGTGAGAGAGTGAGAGTGTGAGAGAGAGAGAGAGAGAGTGTGAGAGTGAGTGTGAGTGTGAGAGTGAGAGAGTGTGAGAGTGAGAGAGTGAGAGTGAGAGAGAGAGAGAGTGTGAGAGTGAGAGTGAGTGAGAGAGAGAGAGAGAGAGAGAGAGAGAGAGAGAGAACGAAAACAAAATTTTGTTATATTCGATCTGGATTCTGTTACAGCCTTTCTTTATATAGAAAGGATAAGGGGATATAAATGGAATTAGACACTAGTCTAATTCCCTTTTTTACAGGATATTACAGAACTACCCTTATAACTCTAATACTCCCCTCTCAAACTTAGGGTGGTTGATCAAGTTTGAGCTTGTCAACAACTCTAAGCTTTGATTTAAGAAATAAGAATTTGTTGGTGGAGAGAGGCTTGGTTAGCACATCAGCCCACTGATCTACTACAGGAATGTGGGAAACAATGAGGTTCTTGCCAATCACTTTCTCCCGGACAAAGAAAATGTCAAGTTCCATGTGCTTGGTCCTTGAGTGCAAAACAGGGTTGTGAGCTAGAGATACAGCACTGAGATTGTCACATAGTATCTTGGGAGTCTGATGGGTGATCTGAAGTTCCTGCAGAAGAGACTGAAGCCAGAGAATCTCTGTTGTAGCTAAGGCCAGACTTCTGTATTCTGCCTCAGCACTGGATCTGGCAACAAGTGTCTGCTTCTTTGCCCACCAAGTAACAAGATTAGGACCTAGGAAGATGCAAGCCCCAGAAGTAGACCTTCTATCGTCAGGATCAGATGCCCAGTCTGCATCACAAAGGCCTGTGATAGTGAGAGGCAAAGTGAGGTTAGCAGGTGAGAGAAGAAGACCATGTGAAACTATCCCTTGGAGATACCGGAGAATGCGCTTAACAGCTTTCCAATGATCCTCAAGAGGGTTTGAGAGAAATTGGCACACTTTGTTGACTGCAAAAGAGATCTCAGGTCTTGTGACAGTAGCATACTGTAGGGCTCCCACTATAGACCTGAAGTAGGTGGAATCAGCAACTGGAGCAGAGCCCCACTTTGGATAGTTTGGTGCTTGAGGCCATAGGGGGAAGCAATTCCTTTGGCAGAAGCCATGTTGGCTCTGTGAAGCTGATCCCTGACATACTTGCTTTGAGAAAGCAGAAGAGAAC